ATAACACACAAAATATATGTTAATAGACTGTTAGTAGTTAAATCTTTGGGGAGTCAAAAGTTATACATGGATTTTCAGCTATGTGGGGTATCAATGCCCTGAACCCCCATATTGTTCAAGAGTCAACAATACAACTTATTAGTATTCTATGAAAACCCAAACTTTTCAGAGATTAAATAATGTAAATCTTACCCAAGGTCTGTCTCTCATTATCTAAATCGTTACTGAGATTATCTAAGGAAAGATTATCACTTATGTCACTGACGTATGAGTCATCATCAGAAATCTACGGGAAAGAAGAAATAACATTCATTAGCGTTAGAATAAACAAAAGCCAGATTTTCACAAAACTCTTACTCCATATCATCAAACATGTTGAGACCCACACTACAAATACTATTGGGCACTGTTCTCATAAAGGTCCATATACCAATCTGCCAAGGAGGTGTTCAAACAAATATCTGTTCTTAAAATTCTTATACATTCTGAATTAGTTCTCACAAGGAAAACAGTAAGCAAGCTCAAGACTGTTATTATAAAGCTTCTTATTAATTCAGACTGCATTTTCAGAATTTATCAGTGTTTGAGTAGAAGGAGTTACAATTTGTCTTTGAGCTATTTGTGTAAAAAGTATCTTCTATGGGAATACATAAACAAGATGGCTATGTTTCTATTTAAGAAATAACATTATTAGTACACATTGACACAAAGCAATGTTAACTATGATAACTGCTATTCAGGAAAGTGTAATTTTTATGCATCAATTTAAGACAAAAATGCTATAAACCAATGTTATAATAATCATATTATAATAAAAATAATTATATATTATAAATCAATATAGGTCAAATCCCATGACTAAAAAATTTACAGGATGGTAATTTCCTTCTCTGTAGTAGATACAATACATTATTAAGTAGGTAGAAGTCAAAATTATTAACCTGTACTTGAAGAGATGTATACCACTTTGAGAGACTAAGGCGGGTGCATCCCTTGAGGCTAGGAATTCGAGACCAGCCTGGCCAACATGGGGAAACTCGTCTCTACTAAAAATACAAAAATTGGCTGGGCATGGGGGTACACGCCTGTAACCCCAGCTACTTGGGGGGCTAAGGTGCAAGAATTGCTTGAACCTGGGAGGCAGAAGTCGCAGTTAGCAGAAATCATACCACTGGACTCTAGCCTGGGCAACAGAGTGAGACTTTTTCTCAAAAAAGTAAAAAAGAGAAAACAGGCTGGGCATGGTAGCTCATACCTGTAATCCCAGCACTTTGGGTGGCCGAGGCAGGAGGATCACCTGAGATCAGGAATTTGAGACCAGCCTGGACAACATGGTGAAACCCTGGTCTTTACTAAAAATACAAAAATTAACCAGACGCAGTGGCGTATGCTGTAGTCCCAGCTACTTGGGAGGCTGAGGCTGGAGAATCACTTGAACCTGGGAGACGGAGGTTGCAGTGAGCTGAGAATACACAAGTGTACTCCAGCCTGGGCAACAGAGTGAGACTCCATTTCAAAAAAAAAAGGTATAACAAATTTAACAAATCAAGTCATAGAAATGAGCAAACATCCAATGCTCTCTACCTTTACTTTTTCTTTTAACATATAGTGTACTTTTGGAGTACATTTGTACTTTTACGGTGTGAGCTATGAGAGAGCTCTCAGAATATAATGACTGAAAAAGGTCACTGAGTTTGGTGTTTCATAATTTGATTATAAAGAGGACTGGGGACTTCCTTCCCTTGCACAGTCATTATGGGTGGAAAGAGACAAAGAGAACTTATATCATTATGGATAAATTATGGATTATTTACTGAACAGATTAATCAGTAAAGCAACAAGAGAGATTTTTGAGGCACCTAACTGAAAACAGTGCTCAAACCTCATTTTCTGAAGAGCTTGGAGATAACAGAACTTCCTGAGCATCAAAAAACTCGGAAAGGGAGTCAGTGATGGAGAGTCTACTTTCATTAGAAAGCTGATGAACCAGAGCTCGATTTTCATCTCTGGAGTTTTCCTATGTGAAGAACAAAATAAAAAATGCATACATTTAGAAATATACTCAAGAGAAAGAAAATAAACAAATGATTTAGTTGTACAATACATGAGGTTGCAGGCCCATGCAAATAAGCAACTCGAAGCAGAGGTCAGCTCCCACACTAAGAAGCAAGCCTCATGCAAAACAGAAAGTTCTTCCTGCAAATGGTCACCTCACTTCCAGGCACTATCACATCTCATACACGTGCAACAAATCACAAGGCAAAAAAACAACTGTCTGTTTGTTTCATTTAAAACTCTTTGTTTCATTTAAAAGGGGAAAAATTCCAGTGCTCTCTGAATCATATCCTCTTATTCACTAAGACTGCTGGATGTTTCTTTTTATACTAAAATTTCCTCTGCATTGCACTGATGCATGTTCTTGCATGGCTGGTTCAGAGCAATATAGCTTTCTTCTGCCCCTATGCTCTCCGAGGGAACAATATGCTGCTTTTGAGGTGTCCCTTGACAAATACACAGTGAATTTGGGTCCAGAAGCACCTTGGTGGCAGATTATTTATTATTCATTGATGAATGATATAAATTCTCTTTGTCTGTCTCTTTCCACCCACAATGACTGTGCAAGGGAAGGAAGTCCCCAGTCCTCTTTATAATCCTCTACAAATAATACAACACAACTTCATTATTTTCTAACCTCGCGTGACCCTCCATTCTCCACTCCACTGGGTCTGGACTTGCCCTCTGGGGAGGACCTAAAGCATTGGGTAGTGTGTTTTCTATTCTGTTTGGAAGTGGCAATTCGATTCAACTCAACAAACTGAGCGAATGATTTATATATGGTCCTGAGCTGGCCATGACAGGATATCGCAATGAACCAGGCAAGCTTTGTGGCCTGAATGCGTGGTGAGAGAATGCATCCAACAAGCATCAGACCAGGACTGTGGAAGAGACAAAGTGCTGGCAAAGTGAAGAGACTGATTCTGATTAAGGAGATCTGGTTTGGGGAGGGCTTCACAGAGGTGGCACCTTAGGAAAAAGAACAGATTCAGGACAGGCTGATTTGATTTCTTTGAATCAGAGTGGACAGGTAGTAGTAAAGCCACTCACATTTTTTATTGGGCTGACAAAGGAGTTGCTTCCATATCATCCAGAATAATTTGGTGAAAAGGCAGATTATATCTTGCCCAGAAATCGTCTGAATTTGGGATGCATCCCTCAGTCACATAGGGAGGGAATGCTATGACAAGAGGGCCACAGCAGATTTCCATAATTAATAAAATACAGTGATCCCTTTATAAATTGGTTGCTTCTGTTTGTAAATATGTATCTATAAATTGTCGAAACATATATCCCTTCCCCAAATAAGGCATCTGCCCAAGGTATTAATGATCCTACCCATTTTAATACCATGCAGGCTTCTGTAAAGCAAGCCTCTTCTCTACCCTAACAGAGATCACTGTAGAATCTTAAGTATCACAGCTGTTAACTTTAAGGAAAAGGTCTCTGTCCTTAAAAGAGCCAGGCATAAAGCTATTGAGTTTAAAAACATCCTAAGGAATAGCTTCTGTAACACTCACTCAAACAATAGAATTGTCCTGTGTCTTCTGTGTGCTCCTGTCACAAAAGATGCTCATGATTTATTTACTTGCTCTACTCATTAATTTATCACTCTTGCTCTCTCTGTATCTTCCTCCTTATAGACTGATAGGTCAAAAGAATTTCTCGGCTGACCAACACTGATAATAATAGTCCTAGCCCCCAGCCCTTTCTGGTGGTGTCTTCCTGTATGTACTAAAAACTCACCAGCACTGCTGCAGCCCCAAGTCTCCAGCACGGTGTCTTAAACAACTCAGGACCTCATTTGTTAAAATATTAACCCAATCGGTTCAATTCCGTAATTTCCTTTCACATTTGCAATGCATGATCGGTTATCTATTGTTTACATTACAGAAAGTTAAATCAAGTGTGTCCAACCCACAGCTCATGGGCCACATATGGCCCAGGATGACTTTGAATGCGGCCCAACACAAATTCATAAATTTTGTTAAAACATTATGAGATTTTTTTGTGACTTTTTTTTTCTGGCTAATCAGCTATCATTAGTGTTAGTGTATTTTATGTGTAGCCCACGACAATTCTTCTTCTTCCAATGTGGCCTAGGGAAACCAAAAGACTGGACACCTCTAAGTCAAATAAACAGAGAAAAAGGAGGAAAAGGAACATTCATAGTTCACACTATAATAACCACTATAGGCATTTTAACACATTTCTTCTTTTTTATACATGTCGTTTTGCTTTGTTCTGAAATAACTGTAAACATGCTATTTTCATATCTCTAAATATGCAATTTTATAAAGTTCCCCCAAACAATACTGTAAGATAGTTTTTTTCAAAATTAAAATGCATTCTGAAACATATGTATTCAAAATAGAAAATATTAAAAAATGTAAATAAAATATCACTTCAAGTCCCACTGAAGTGGATATGAATGTGGAAGTGGATGTGGCCCCTATTAACTTCCTGGTATTTTCATATTAAAATATCTGTGTATAAATTTTATTTTGAAAAACTGAGATATACATAGCTTACATATTGTCTGCTTCATTCACTAAACATTATATTGTGAACATTTTCCCTGACCATTCAAAATTATTTGAGACAATGGACTTTCATTGATAAATATTTTATTACATATTTGTGTCATGGAGTAATAATAAAATTAAGGATGTTTACAGATTTGCGAAAATGGTTTAGTATGTTTGTAAATATGTCTTTGCTTGTATCTTGTTATTTCTTAAATCAATTATTGGGAGAATTATTAATAACATTTAAGGCAAAATATATATTATCTAATCACACCAACAAATAAGGAAACATGTTTTTTCTATATTGAGGGCACTGCGTACCATAATTTAGAAAATGTTTGTGCTAATCTAATTGTTTCAGTTTTCACTAGACTGAAGAGTTTTTCCTTTTTAACAAACAAGCTTGTAGAGATGTTAATGTAGGGAAAGGCGGGATGAAGCGTGCATGGGAACTCCCTCTGTATTTTTTTTGTACTTTCCTGTGAATTTACAAATATTGCAAAATAAGTAAAAAAAAAAAAAACCCACACTCATAAATATCTGTATTTGTATGTGTGTGAATTACGGCCTTTTTCCATTTACTTGTTAAAGTTTGAAGTTACTTGATATTATTTGTTCATTGGTTACATATTAAAAACATTATTAATTTAGCATTACCTCAGTCTGTCAATTTCACTGAAAATATTTTTCCCAGTCTGTTATTTGCCTTCTTATTTTTTTTTGACATACATCACTTTTTATTTATTTATTTATTTTGAGATGGAGTCTTGCTCTGTAGCCCAGGCTGGAGTGCTGGAGTGCAATGGCACGATTTCGGCTCACTGCAACCTCCACCTCTCAGGTCCCAGTTCAAGCAATTCTCCTGCCTCAGCCTCCAGAGTAGCTGGGATTACAAGCACATGCCATCATGCCCAGCTAATTTTTGTATTTTTAGTAGAGACAGGGTTTCACCGTGTTGGCTGGCTGGTCTTGAACTCCTGACCTCATGATCCGCCCACCTCGGTCTCCCAAAGTACTGGGATTACAGGCGTAAGCCACCGTGCCTGGCCGATCACTTTTTACTAAAAACAAATATAGTCAGATCTAATCAACATTCCTTTTGCAATTTTTTTCTATTGCACCCCAATTTAGAAAATCTTTCCTACCCTAGCAGTTTGATAAATACTTACATTAATATTTTTCAGTTTGAATTTGTATATTTAACTTGAATTTGCTTTTGATTCATTTTAGCATGCAATGAAAAGATGTAAACTTCTTTTTAAATTGCTTTGGGCAGGGCATGGTGGGTGGTGAGTGCCTATAACCCCAGCTACTTGGCAGACGAAGGCAGGAGAATTGCTTGAACCCAAGAATTCAAGGTCAAGCTGGGCAACAGAGCAAGACTCTTGTCTCCAAAATAATAGTAAATAATAATAATGTAATAAACTTCTTTGAGCTGTGCCAACCTAATTTATTGAATAATCCATCTCTTTCCCAATGGTTTTTGATGCCGTTTCCAACCATAATCTTTATTTCTTTCAAATACAAAATAATGTTTATGCCTGAGAGAGTTATTCTGTCCCATTCTTAACTGTCATCACCTTAACTATGGGAGCTTGAATGAGTGTTTTACCTTCTGTTCTTCATTATATAGCAATGCATACTATTGAGAAAAGAATTGCTTTGGCCTCATTAGCTGTGAATTTAAATCCCAGCTCCATCTGTTACAAGCTGTGTGTCTGCGGGAAGTTATTTAACCTCTCTGAACTTTAGTTTTTTTGAAACTATCACCACCTACCTCACAGAGTCGTGGTTAGGATTTTGTGAGGTAATGCATTCCAATGCATACTGATATAGCAAACAGACAAAATAATTAAGTTCCCTTCTCTTTCAGACTTTTCTTTAAAAGTTTTGGCCTTTTTTTAGCCTCTTAAATGGACATTGGATGTAGTATGGTGTTACCTCCCAAAGTCACTTGCCCTTTTTCATTTGGAATCTAAAATAATCTAAGAGCTGATAACTTGATAATATTAAATCTTCGCATTCAAGAATATAAAACAGGAGAACCTGGTAGGTTGCGGGTAATTTCTGATTTAACAAAAGGGAGGATTTTAGAATTCAATTAGCCAGGCCCAACACCAGAGATGGATAACATATGCAGCTAAAGAAAAGGTAACAAAGTAAGCAAAGAAAGTGAGAATTCTAAAAAAGAGAGCACCTTGAGCTGACCCCATAGTTGCAGACTGTCATTCCCCAATAGAATATCAGAGGTGCCCGGGAGTTACCTATAAAAATTTAACTGGAGTCAACTTTTCAGTCTGGGAGGCCATTTTCACTCACTTTTCTACTTACGTCTCGAAGGCAACAACTTTACCTTTGCTGGGAAAGTTAGCCTGAATCACTTCATGATAAAAGGGATAAAATACAAGAAACAGAAAATTTCTGAAAGAGGAAATAGATAAAGATGACAACTGCATCACTGAATCAAGACTCAACAAGGCTGTTTTCGAAGCTGTGTGTTTGAAGGGTTATATGGTTACCTCTCAAGGACAGTGTATAGTATTTCAGCTTTCAGGTATGTTACTTTTATGATCAGTTTTAAAACATGTGTTTGAAATATGTAGTTCAAAAACACACATTTTAAAAGACTTGTGATTTTGGTTCCCTTTCCGAAACAAATAGTTCCAAGTAGACATGCCAAGCATAATTTCATAAAAGCATAAATGAAGGTTATGTATTTTTTTTTTTTTTTTGAGACGGAGTTTCGCTCTTGTTACCCAGGCTGGAGTGCAATGGCGCGATCTCGGCTCACCGCAACCTCCGCCTCCTGGGTTCAGGCAATTCTCCTGCCTCAGCCTCCTGAGTAGCTGGGACTACAGACACGCGCCACCATGCCCAGCTAATTTTTTGTATTTTTTTAGTAGAGACGGGGTTTCACCGTGTTGACCAGGATGGTCTCGATCTCTTGACCTCGTGATCCACCCACCTCGGCCTCCCAAAGTGCTGGGATTACAGGCTTGAGCCACCGCGCCCGGCCCAAGGTTATGTATTTAACTACCTATTACATAATAATGTGATAATACTATTTAAAAGGTAAATACTGTCTGAAAACATGCACAAACTCCAGACACTGCCATGGTACGTGGCACCTGGTCAGTTGTGGCTGATCATGGCCATAACTGGGCCCTGCTTTTAGAAAATGTGCAGATTCAAAAGAGGGCCTGCCTAGGCCTAAAGTCAAGGCACCATAAGTAATGCTTAGGTGCTCAATGCTGCAAGTGACAGTTTAGGTCTGGGCTAAAATATCTGAAAAGTGACCTCTTGGGGGTAGTGCTTCTATAAAGGAATGTCATACTTAGCCACTATTATGTGCCACACAAGCTTCTGTCAGACCGAGGCTAAAGTTCATGACAGCAGATGGGCCTGCCCGCACATGGCACCATCTGGTCTCCAGATGGGGTCAGTGTCCGTGGCCCTACAGTCCATATGCAGACTGACTTCAGCCTCAACTCACCTCACTGCCCAGCACAATGACTTCCCAAGGAGTGAAGGTGTGTGTGGGGGGGGGTTGTTTTCTTTGAGGACAGGAAAACAAGGATGAAGGATTATGATTAAACATTATAAACTTCTTTAAAAAATTTATATAAACATACACCTCTTATCTACTACCTGCCTTATATTTTTTATCAAGTGTACTCAGTCTAATTCATTTGTTAATAAAAATTTAGCATATCTGAAGCAGGAATATAATATAAAAAATAGCTTTAAAACAGTTTTTTACTTTCATTACTCTTTCCTACTTGTTTTTTGAGTAACCTACTTGTATTTTTCTGAAATTTCTCATTTTAAACATGCAAAGACTATTTTGGATAAACATGCCTAGTCTTGAGGAAAGACCTTTTTAATGTGCTTTTAACTGACCAAGACACTTTAATTGTAACGCAGTATTTTTTTTCCCTCAGAGTGTACAGTTGTGTTCTACAAAAGAAAAAGAAAATCACAGAAAAGGCACAAGGGAACAGCCACCGAGAAAGGGTTAGAGGGGAAGGAAGCTGGCAGGGAACCAAAATACTGCAGGTCAGAGAAATGTAGGTTTCTATTGTAGTAACAAGAGAAAATGTTTCCCTGTCTACAGTTTCCACTCCAGTACCACCCTGGTGAAAGGGGTGACATTCAGGAGGAAAATAGGGTAGGTACAAAAGAAAGAATTCAGGGGCAGGGAGCAGCTTAAAAATGCAATTAGCAGCATATGCTCAAGAAAGTATTTGAGTCCCAGACCCCAGTCCATGAGGCAGCTGCAGCCAGCACCCAGAGAAGGAGGGCAGAGAGGTGGACAGCACCCACGAGGGGAAGCAGGGAGGCCGTGCAACCGAACAGATGGTATCACGGGAGCAGGTGGCGGTCGAGGAGACATTACCAGAAGAGAAACCTACCCACCTCTGCCAGATTGTCACCCGACTTGGCGACAGCGGGGGGGTCGAGGAGCAGAGACTCGGCATGGATTCTGCGTAAACGTTCTTTAAGATCTGTGTTTTGTGCTAGGGCCTGGAACATGTTAAAAATAGTGGGGCTCTGTTAATAAATGGATGTTTCAGAAAAGCACAGCAGTGGGCCCCACAGGAGTGATCTTTAAGAGCCTGATGAAACTCTCAGAGGATATTTCCTGGACTTTTTTTCCTTGAATGCTCTCCAAGAGGAAACTGGTTCTGAGATGCCTGGGAGATGACAAGCTGGAGGCTCTGGAAATGATGCTCCTTCTCTTTTCTCATTCCAGACATGGAAGGAGGGTTGGTAAGGGTGATAAGGAGGGAAGTCACAGACACTGTCGGCTTCTGTTAAGACCAGTAGTTCCACAGCACCTCCTCCGCCTCCCCAATTGTCTGGATTCTCTTTGGCCAAATCACTTCCTATGGAATCCAGGCTTCTATCAGCTTTGAAGAATATGCTGCCCCCACCCATTATGATTGGGCATACTTCAGTGTTACTTAATTACCATACCCATTGACTCAGATTTTAGAAAGTATGCTGGAGGCCGGCCATGGTGGCTCACACCTGTAATCAGTGGCTGACACCTGTAAGCACTTTGGGAGGTGGAGGAAGGCAGATTAGCTGACATCAAGAGTTCGAGACCAGCCTGGCCAACATGGCAAAACCCTATCTCTACCAAAAAATACAAAAATTAGCTAGGCATGATGGCACATGCCTGTAGTCCCAGCTACTGGGAAAGCTAAGGTGGGAGAATTGCTTGAACCTGGGAGGCTGACAGACGTTGCAGAGAGCTGAGATCGTGGCCTGGGTAACAGAGTGAGACCCTGTCTCAAAACAAAAGAAAGTGTGCCAGGAAGTAGGACTTTGTGAAAGACACACTTTGTAATGTTTAGGTGCTCAGTGCTGCAGGTGACATTGTGGGTATTGATTGTTCTATTCATTCTTCAGGACTAAGACAATTTATTTTACAAAGAAATGAGTAAACCTCACTTACCTGCATAAGGGCTTAAGGACCATGGCTCTAGGAATGGGTAAGTGTGAGATGAAGAGCAAATCTGAGACTACCCTAGGCTTCTTTTCTATTTCCCTCGGCAGGCCCCATTCCTTATCTCAACCTCTCAACTATGAGGAAAGTGGTTGAAAGGTAAAGGAAGCTGTCTCCTTCACGCTGATACTCCTGTGCGCTTCATGACCAACTGTTCTCCAGTGATCTGTCTGTGGAAGGGGACAAGTTATCCTATTGTCTTCCCAGACACTCCATGATCAGCTCCACCAGTGCTTGCATGCAGATTCAGCCTGTCCGTCTTCCTGACTCTTTTCTAAGAAGCTCTGAGTCTTTTCCATCTACCAGGGCCTACAGGACCGACCTGCTGAAAGCACAGAAGGACGTGGCACTGCCTAATCCTCTACTCTCCAGCAGGAATGCTAGCTTTATTTTTCAGTCCCCGCAGAGCATATGGGTTATTTGAAAATCCTAGAGAACTATTTAAGAAACACTGCACAAGAGCTAAGATCTTGTGCAACCACAAGATCAACCACATATAAGAGCAACCACATATAACAATCTCTTTGGAGCACTCACTTTATTTTCCACATGCCATGTTACGGAGACTAGAATCTAAGTAGAGCTTGGAAATTGTGCTATTTTATTAGTTTTTGTTTCCTTTGTAAGCCACAGGCAGAAGCAGAAGACAGCAACATTGTGCATACAGCATCAACATATCCATTCTGATAGCTCTGACATGATTCTAAAAATCTTATTTTCAAAAAACAAGTCCTAAACCCTATCATCAATCCAAGCCAAAAAGGAAAGAAAGGATCATTTGGTTTTATCTGAAGTTTCCAAAATCATGAATATGGATGAGAATGAATTCCTTAGTGAAGGTGAGAACAACCTTGGCCTAGGATACCGCAGCCAAATAGGTCTCAGTGGCCAGACCTCTGCAGGAGAAGGCTGGGAGAGGAAGGTCCTAGGGAGAGGGACCTTGTAAGCACATCAGAGGTTCGTTTTGTAAATGCACTAAAAGCTAGCCTAATGGAAGCAATAAGAAATTTAGGAAATAAAAACCAAAAACACTTTGCTTCTGCTTCTCTCAAACCAAAATAGCACCCAGTGTGCAGATGTCTGCTACAATAAAAAGGGGGGACAATTCTATCTGTGACCTTAATTAAGACAAAGTTAAGACTCTTTTTTATATATGGAGCAAGCCAATGTTATTTTTAATTTCTTTTGAAGATAGCGTACTTGGAATGGTCCATGAGTGAATATTCCTTATGTATTCTACAACAACTCTCTGTGCTACTGGCAAAGGATTTACCACTAACATTATACGAAGAGCATCAGTTTTCTTAGCAATACGATGAATAGAAAATATGAATCAGTATTTTCTAGTTCTCTCAGTGCCTGTGTTGGCTTCTAGTCACAAGATCCTAAAATTCACCTCCCCTACCTGACTTGAAATAGAAAATTCAGTATTGCTTCAGATGGTAATTTCCTATGTGCACACACTCTTTCTCTTTCTAAAGAAGGAATTCCAAAGTACAAGAAAAGAGTAAAAGCAAATCAGTATGCTATTTCAAAAGTTCTCTAGCCTCCTGGTAGATAAGGGGTAAAAAAAAAAAAAAAACAGATAACTTTATTCAAATAGAGGTGGGACATGGCACTTTAATGGAGCCCAACTATTCTGAGGAATGAATTGAAATAAATGAAAAAAAGAGAGAGAGAATGAGTGACAGAATGGCTGAGAATCATTTGGGATCCTGACAGTGATTTTCCTGTTATTATGAAGGTACAGTGATCGCCTGACAGGCACTT